AAAGACACCTATTGTATAGTGCACAAAGCATTGAGTATTCTACATGTTACAGTCAACTAATGCTTATCTATTATTGACTGGTAATTTCTATTTCACCCTGTACTTAAGTTTTTTAAAGGAACCCCAAGGGGGTAATACCATCATTTACACTAGAATTTAGATTTTTTTTTCTTTAAATTTTTCATATAATGATAATAAAATATATAGTCAAAGATCATGAAGACTGTTTTGCTTTATCAACTGATGATAAAATTATAGTTACTACTAGAACTAGGTAGGCCTGTTGAAGAAAGATGATGATGAACGAAATTAAGAAATCTCGGTTTTGGATATTCGCCGATTTTTAACTTTGAGATGCTCTGAATTGCTGAAAAGCGACATATACAACGGAGATAGAGCGACTATGTCAGGTAGCTCTTCATAACTAGTTTCTGAAGACCTGTAGAGAAGAAAATCCAGATGACATTTATATTGCTTTAATACGGACGTTGGTGCCATCCCAACACTCTCCGATAAGATGAAAGAGTGTATGGAAGAGTATTTGCATTCCTAAAATATTTCTGCTTTAAATCTTCTTTGCTTCGAACATTGCTTTGGTTTGTTTGGAATTTTGTGCAAAGCTACACAAGGGTTATCTGCGTTAGCCGTCCCTAGTTTAGCAGTGACTGATTAAAGGGAAGGCAGCTTGTCAACACCACCCACTGCCAACTCTTGGGCTACTATTTTACCAACGAATAGTGAGATTAACCGTAACATTATAACGCCCCACTGCTGAAAGGGCGAGCATATTCGACGACGAGGATCGAACATTGCAACAGATTCCAGAACGAAAGCGATTACTTTTAAAATATTTTATGAATTTGCTTTGACGCCAGTTTTCTTCTAAAATGCTCATTAGTCACATCTATTTCACATTTTAAAATCAAATTAATGTTAACTTATTAAAAATTTTGAAGAGTTTAAGAACATCCATGGATTATTCATTTTGCACAAGCATACACGTTTGGTGCGTGTTAAATTTAGATACGGATTCAATATATGAGCTCAAAATGATAAATTCTGTTTTCAACTTTTCTGTACTGTTTTCATCTTTGGTAATAATAATAATTTCATTATACACACAAGGTATTTAGACGAGTACTGAGTAAAACACCAAGACAATAACTTATATTTAAAAAACGAAACTTATTGAAATTTAATTTGTTTGTTGTCAAATATAAATCAACAGAATAGCCTATATGTGCTGTGACCACCGTAATTATCGAACCCCAATTTTTAGCGTTATAAGCCCTTAGTTTTAACGCCGAGTCACTGTGGGGGGGGGCTGAAATTAAATTTGTCTGCTTGAAACAGAAAAGGAACCTTTTGTGTGTTTTATGACATGACGTAATTTTTTACAAATTAAAATATGTATATATATATATACTTGCACTTAAACTGCTCCTACTCTTGTTTTGAGGAACGATATCGTGCATATAAATTGTTGTAAGCTATATTCAAATATATTATTTTACGTTTGTATTATTTTGGCTAGACAGAGTTCTAGAATTGGCGTGACATTATGAGCATATGCGCTGAGCCACTGGGAGATGGTTTCTAAGTTAATCAAGTGCCTGAAAAATATTTGTCCTATTAACAATAGGGTTAATAACAAACCTATATTTACCCAAAATATGCCATAGTCTTGTTTGTTTGTTTGTTATTTCAACGTAAAGCTACATAATGGGCTATCTACGCCCTGTGTGCCGCAAGGAATCCAACTTCAGATTTTGTCGTTGTAAGTCCGTAATCTTAGCGTTGAACCAACAGGGGATATGTCACAGTCTAAAAATGGAAGCACTTCCGATAAATCTTATGGGAACTCCCGTCTACACAAAGTTACAATGCCATAGAAGGGTGTTTTTTGTTTTGTTTTAAAAACATGGATGTACTGTACATAAAAAAATCTAAATTAGAAAAAACTTTGTCACCAACAGTCACGATTGCTTTTTTTCACTTATAAACAAAGAGTTTATGACCGAGAAATAGTAATGAGCGTGGTATTTTCCGGCTCCCAGATGTATCCTCTCCCAAAGTAGATAGTTAGGCCCGCTAACAGGAGGTTCTGAAATACTAAGTATTATAGCTTATTTGTCCCAGATCTGTAGCTAAATATGCCGCACAAGGAATGAGACAAGAGACATATTACAAATATTTAATGAAACAAAAATACAGTACAATACAAAACAATATACTACAATAAAAGACAATAGCAAAGGAAACATAAAAGCAAGTGTTCCTTCTGTGTAAGAGCAAGTGTGGGAGTAAATGTGAAAACTTTTATTAAAACTCTCACTATTTTCAATATGACACAGTGTGAGTAAAAGTAAAACAAATAAACCAAAAATCATCTTTACAAGTTAAATATAAATAAAGAAACGGGAAATACAAGTTAAGCTTGGATTGCTTTTTTTTTCCTTTCAGAACTTTTAGTGTAAAAATGTAACAAAAATATTTGAATGATAACACTCTTTTCTTCCCAGTGTTAGATATAAATGACTGTTTCATATAAGTTTAATACCAGAGTTATGATTTAAATAGCTTACAGAGCGTGAGTGTTAAATTCAATATTTTTAGAAGCGATAATTTATCACAGATTTGTTTACGTAAGTGTTCAAATCATACCTTGTGTAGTTCACTAGTCTGTGATTGTTATATTGTTGCGTCATGTTACTAGCGAATTCTAAGTTTTCTCATTGTTTTATTGAGTATTGTTACATCATAATGTCCCATAGTTTGTAAAAAGATCTAGGCTTCAATTGGGCAATATATATATAAGCAACCAAGTTAGTTGAAGCATGTTAGTAAAAGTGAAGTTAGACTGCATGTGAGTTTAGTGGTAACGGGCGATTTCTAAAGTGAATTTCACAGTTTGTATTGTAATAACAGAGATAGAGGAGACTAATTTGTCTTTTCAAAGGTTTTCTAATGTAATTGAATCAGCCTTTGTGGACTTTGACAATATATATGTATATATTTAAAGTTCTGGATACAACTGTAATAACCAATAGTGTAACGAATTTTTGTACATACTGTTGCGTCAGCGAGTCACATGACTACAGTTGCGCACCGTTTCCAGAATTCTCATGTACTTTGGCGAAAGCTCTAGTATTTTCTAGTA